GGCGAGCACGATCAAAACCCCTGGTATCATGACATCAAGTAGTACCTCATGAGGGGTGAATATCCCGAGGGAATCAGCGACAATGACAAACGAACTATTCGCAAGAGGGCCGCAGGGTTCACATTGATTGAAGGAACCCTCTACAAAAAGAGCCCCGATTCCACTCTCTTAAGGTGTGTGGACCAAGAAGAAGCCCAAACCTTGATAAAAGAAATCCACAAAGGGACTTTTGGAACCCACGCACCCGGGCATGTCATGGCAAAGAAAATCCTTAGGGCAGGGTATTTTTGGTCCACGATGGAAGCCGATTGTCACCAATATGCCAAGAAGTGTCATAAGTGCCAAGTCTACGCCGATAATATTCATGTACCGCCCGCACCTCTCAGTAACCTGGCTACACCATGGCCATTTTCTATGTGGGGCATGGATGTCATCGGACCCATCGAACCCAAAGCATCTAACGGCTATCGCTTCATCTTGGTAGCAATCGACTATTTCACCAAGTGGGTTGAGGCGGCGTCATATGCGCATGTGACCCGGAAAGTGGTGGCCACCTTCATCAAGAAAAACATTATATGTCGGTACGACATCCCTCATAGGCTCATTATTGATAATGGGACCAATCTCAACAATAAAATGATGGAGGAATTATGCCAAGACTCAAAATCCAGCACCACAATTCCTCTCCGTACCGACCAAAGATGAACGGTGCAGTAGAGGCAGCCAATAAAAATATCAAGAAAATCATCCAGAAAATGGTTGTGACCTACAAAGATTGGCATGAAATGCTTCCCTTTGCCTTACATGGCTACCGACCGTCGGTACGAACCTCCACAGGGGCTACCCCGTTCTTCCTCGTGTACGGAATGGAGGTCGTACTACCAGTAGAGGTCGAAATACCCTCCCTACGAGTTATCATGGAAGCAAAATTAACAGAAGCTGAATGGGTCCAAAACCGGTATGATCAGTTGAACTTAATCGAAGAAAAATGACTGGACGCCATATGTCGGGGGCAAGCTTACCAAAGGAAAATCAAGAAAGCCTACGACAAGAAGGTCAATCCCCGCACTTTCCAAGAAGGAGATCTAGTAGTAAAGAAACAGCTTCCAGCCCAGAAAGACAAAATCGGGAAGTGGACAGCAAACTACGAAGGACCCTTTGTGGTCAAGCGAGCCTTCTCAGGAGGAGCCCTTATCCTCACCAATATGGATGGAGAAGAGCTCCGATATCCTGTCAACTCAGATGCGGTGAAAAAATACTACGCCTAAAGAGATTGCTCATGACCCGTCAGGATGAAAACTCGCAAAGAGCGTCTTGGGCAAAAGATAGGGCCTACATTCCTCGCTAGGACACGTCCTTGGCAAAAATCAGAGGTTTCAAAAAAAAAAAAAAAAAAAAAAAGAAAAAAGTGAAAATAGAGCAATGATTACCTTAGCCGAAAACTGCAAAGGCGACTAAGGTAATACCTCCACAATAGCAAGCAGACTTCGCATAGTCTTCACTCCGGATCCGAGCATCTCAACTGAAGGAACCGGGAAAAACGGGGAAACAGAGATCGCAGACATGATTGTGGCACCCTCATACAGTTTAGCCAACCTTGGCTAGCCTTGCTTACAAATTCTTTTGTAAACCCCCATGTAAAAATAAACCATCTATTTATATCAATAAAATTGTCTTTTCTTCTCCTTACCTACTTGTGTGAATGCCTCCGTATTAACGAAATATGAGCATGCATAAAACAAGCAATTCAAGAAAGCATAAAAACAAAAGATGAACATCACCAATCAGGGCCATCCCAGATAAAAAGTACAGGGTAGCCTGCTAGATCGAAAACCCGCAAAGGGCGGTCTAGGCAAAAGATAAGGCTTTCGTAAAAAGAAAAAAAGCCCACCAAAATATCTTAGGCAAAAAAAATTAAAGCCCGCTAGATCGAAAACCCGCAAAGGGCGGTATAGGCAAAAGATAGGGTTAAAACAAAAAGTACAAAAGGATAGCCATGAGAGAACAAGGAAGTACCAGTCACTTTCTAGATGTCCTCAATAAGATTGCATCAACAACATCCACACACAAGTAGTCGCACAAAAATGACTTTGTCAAAAGTAAACAAAAATACCTAGACAAATAAAAGGCATTCATATGGGAAAATCAACTTTATGCTTGCATTCATGAAAAACAACCAAAAAGGTATCCCGGTAAGACTTCACCAACCTTTTGCCTTAAAAATCTCGAAGCCAGCGTAACAAAAAAGCTTAAAAAGGAAAAAAGGCATACGCTCAATAAAAAAGCCAAAAATCCAAAAAAAAAACCGCGAGAAAAAAAGAGATAAAACCGCGAGAAAAAGGCAGGATTAAGACAAGCCATCACATCAACCAACAAAACTTCGACTATCAAATCAAAGTCAAACAAGCAAACAAGAATCATCCGACCAGCCAGTAAGAGTCGGATGATCACCACCAAAAGTCAAAAACAAAGAATCCCCAGCAAACAAGCAAGTTGGATGAGCACCCACAAAATTCCCGGCACAACCCGGATGACCGTTCAAAGAAGTCCAAGTACATCTACCAACACAGAAATCACTCCCCAAGGAGTGCCCAATCGGCGCATGGGCCACCTGAACAATAAGCCGCCACTACCACCAGTCCTACGCAGTGGACTGTACTAGCCTGATAGGGGGTTTGTACCTATCAACCTGCGCACGCGTTGCGCCTGATCTGCGCTCAAGCCGGATCAGTAAGTCGCACTACCAGCCTGATGGGGGGTTCATACCCATCCAGTCCCACACAACGGACTGCAACTACCAGCCTAATGGGGGGTTCATACCTATCCAGTCCCACACAATGGAATGCAACTACCAGCCTGATGGGGGGTTTATACCCATCAACCGAAGGATCGACTACTGTCAGAAGGAGTATCCTGAGGTTTTACCACGTGTCCACCGAAGGGATCGGCTACCGTCAGAAGGAGTATCCCGGAAGTGCACGAACATCAAGATTTTCCCTAGAAGATCAACCGCCGCAAGACGGAGCATCTGAAGGGTGACCGGGCAAGTAGGTCAACTCCTTTACCTTCCTGTCAATCTGTCTGGCACAACAGGCCAATAGCTGACTAGTCAGGTAAAGGGGGGGCAGCTGTAGACCCCAAATCTTGCCCGACCTCCAAATAAAGAGTAGAAGACTTCCTATTCGAAGATGGACGAAGCCTAACAAGCCACTAGGAGAGACTATTAGGCCCCATACTAGGATAGGAATGATTTTCTGTACAAAAATAAAGTTTCTCTCCTTTTTGGGACGAGACCGCCGTCTCGCCTCATGCAAATGGCAAGACCGCTGTCTCGCCAAACGAGACGGCGGTCTCGCCACCTGCGAAGGACGAGACGACGGTCTCGTTTGGCGAGACGGCGGTCTCGACCCTGTCAGACGAGAACGGCGGTCTCGCCACTGGCAGACACAAAAACCTATAAATAGGGGCTCTTCCCCCCTCATTTCAACACACCACACAACTCTAGCTCTCCCTTCTCTCTAAAACTTCTCTCTAGAATCCCTCCGACGCATTTCCGGAGCTTCTGAGTGCTTTTTTTGAGCATTTTTTCAACGTCTAGAAGAGTTTCCAACGTCGTGTAGAGTGAAGGGCTGCCAAAAAGTACCCATTTTTGTTAAAGAAATAAAAAACAAAGCTTGCTTCGGAGGTTTAAATTCTCCCTCTCTACTTTTACTGCTTTAATTTTAAATTATGCAATAGATTAGGGCCATGTAGTCATAATTTTAAATTCCGCAAAATAAAAAGGGCAAAAGCGTATTTTTCTGGTTTATTTATTAACTAAGTAGCTGGCCTATCATAGGGAACCCGAAAGGGGCGTAGTAAAGGAACTAATACTTCCTTTACACGTAACTAACTCCCTTACCCAACTCTGGTTCTAATGACCAAAGTTGGTTTTTCGAAAACCAACGCCTTTTAAAATCCCTTTTCCGATGTTTCTGGTAAAAACATCGGTGGCGACTCCACAGAACCCCATAAAAATTAGTCCTTGGGTTAGCCCGGTTATCGGACAACCCAAGGACACCCTTTCGAAAACCTCGCCCCTAGGTTAGCCTGGTTATCAGACAACCTAAAGGCGTTGTAACCACCCATAAAAAAAACGCGAAAACAAAGAGGGTCGAAACCATCGCGTCGCTCCGATCGCCTTCTTCTTTTTTAGACGGCGGCGACAGACACCAGGGTTGTTCTGGCTGTTTTCCCTCAACTCTAATCACCGTTGGCTTTTCCTCTGCAACAAAACCTGAGGGCCTCGTAGAGCATCTGCGTATGAAGAACCACCCACACCTGATCGCCTAACTACTCCCTCCCTGATGCTATGTAGTTTCACCGCAGCCACAGACCCCCTAGCGTAACGGCTCAAATGCACCTTCATTCGTTTCGTACCAATCACAATTGATCCCAATCTCCGTTCCATCATCTTCGCATTACAAACATATGCAAAGCGGACAAACCCAAACCTCCTCCCTACTTTATCAAGTTTCTTGGGTAAAAATACATCCACCACCTTACCCAATTGCCAAAAAATTTTCCATAGAGTACCGATCTCAAGTGGCTCCGGAATATTCGTGAAAAATATGATGTTGAGGAGCTTAAGACACACCCTAAATGCCCCCCAAACCCCTTGTTTTGACTCCCATTTCGTAACTCCCTCGACTTCCCTCCACCGCTACCTCTCTCCCAAACTCTACCATGGGCATTACTATCCCCTACTCTCATACTGCCTTTTTTCCTTATCATCTATCTAATCCCCTTAGGGTTCAACTTAACTACCAAATATTCCAATTATCTCTTAATCTTCCAACTTTCAAACCTCTACTTGACTAAAATGAGAATTTACCCTGTTTCAATTACCGGATGCTGAAGAGTGGAGACAATAACTTTACCTTTCCATTCTTGTAAACCCCATAAACATTCTCCACTTTCATCAGATTCTCCGCAATCTACCAGGACCTTCCAGATGGCCCTTACCAATCAAAAAAATCCACAAGTCTACCGACGGCAAGGTTCCTCTGAAGCAACTGGTGACGAAGGCTGCTCGTAAGTCTGTTCCGGCAATCGACAGAATGACGAAGCCCCACAAGTTCAGGTCGAAACCTGAGGCTCTTCAATTAGTGTCTTGTCTGGTACCTTCGAATCGAATCACGACGCCCTTCACCGCCTAAACCACGCACCACCACAGATAGCCCTCGCCCCTAAAACCACCATATGCACCATCCGTCGTCACACACAACCCCCTTCTCTGGTCCACTCTCTCACACAACCCCTCTTCTCTAGTCCACTCTCTCCTAGAAACCCCGCGACCCTGCAACTTAACCCGACAGTCCCTGCACCTTCACTCACCTCATCCACCCAACCCTATTTTCCTTCATCCTCGACAGCCACCCATTTCACTCTCCCTCACCGGCCACCAGGATTTCCCAGCTTAAGCTTTCTGATCTCTATTTAATAATCAATAGAATGTTGATATTCAAATCTGTTATCTATCTCTTATTATCGTCGCTGTCCGTTTCAACGTCTAGGGATATCTCGAACGTTTATGCGAGCGGTCGCGAAAAGATGGTTTAGACTCGCGTTTATTTAAAAATGTGTTCATTGCTCCCGAGGAGCTCAACAACTGAACTATCCTCTAATAAAAGTAAGGTTTTCGTAAAAGGGTTCTTATGGAGTCGTCACCAATGTTTTGACCATAAACATTGGAAAAGGATAAAAAGGCGTTGATTTTAAGAAAAACCAAACTTGGCCATTATAACAAGAGTTAGGTAAGGGAGTTAGTTACGCGTGGGGAAGGTGTTAGCACCCTCACGACGCCCCTTCCGGGTTCCCTATGACGAATTAATTCATAAAGTAAAGATTAAGAGAAATTACGCTATTACCCTATTTTATTATATAATATTAAAAAATGACTATCTACATGATTCTATTTTCTATTGCATACATAAAGCAGTAAATAAAGCAATAAAAGAGAAGAGAAGTGAAAAGAACCTCCGTAGCAAGCTTTTTATTATAACTCTTCAACTGTGAGGATGCGTTTTGGCAATCCCCCGCACTACAAGGACTCTCCTCCCCGAATACAGAACCGACTCTACAAAAATTCTAAGAAGAATCGAATGCCGGAAGAAACTTCCTTAACCGATTGTTACCTTATAGGCAACCGGAGAGTTCATTCGAAAGAGGGAGATAAGAGAGGAGTGAGGTGTGTCTAAAAAACGCAAATGAGGTCCCTATTTATAGTTTTTTCAGCTTGGCAGCTTGGGACGACCGTCTGGGTGCAGAAAATAGGGACCACGGTCTGTAGAGGTTGGGACGACCGTCTGGGATCTGGGACGACCGTCCCCAGTGTTTTTTTTTGAGTGAGACGCACGTCTCACATCTAGGACGGGCGTCTGGCCTGTCTGGACGGCTGTCCTGCTTCTGGAACAACTGTCTCGAGTGTTTTGGCCAAATTTTGTGTTCTAGGACTTCAGGGAAGCTTTCCTTTCTTCAGACGGAAGCCAATTGATGCCGATGGATGTTCACCGAAGCTTTACTCGCCTTTAGAGAGGAAATCTTCTAGTCTTTATTGATAGGCCGGGCAAAATTAGGGGTCTACAACTGCCCCCCCTTCACCTGCCAGGCTAACTATTGGTGTTAGTTGGTAGGTGAAGGAGTTAACCCTTTTTGCCCGGTCATCCTTCGGATGCTCCTTTGCTGAAGTTGCTGATCCTCTAGATGATAAATATTTTTGATAGGTACCAACCCCTATCCGGTTTGATGAGAATGGACCCTCATCTGGTCCGAACCTCCTTCTATAAGGCTCTTGTGAGTACTTACCCTCACCAGGTACGAGCCTGCATTTGCTAAGCTCTTGTGGGTACCTACCCCCACTAGGTACGAGTTCGCTTTTGCTAAACTCTAGTGAGTACTTACCCTCACTAGGTACGAGCCCGCATTTGCTAAGCTCTTGTGGGTACCTACCCCCACCAGGTATGAGTCCGCGTTTACTAAACTCTTGACGAGCCCCATTCTGCAAGGCTCTTGTGGGTACCTACCCCCACCAGGTATGAATCCGCTTTTGCTAGATTCTAGTGAGTACTTACCCTCACCAGGTACGAGCCTGCATTTGCTAAGCTCTTGTGGGTACCTACCCCCACCAGGTATGAGTCTGCTTTTGCTAAACTCTTGACGAGCCCCGTTCTGCAAGGCTCTTGTGGGTACCTACCCCCACCAGGTATGAATCCGCTTTTGCTAGATTCTAGTGAGTACTTACCCTCACCAGGTACGAGCCCGCATTTGCTAAGCTCTTGTGGGTACCTACCCCCACCAGGTATGAGTCCGCTTTTGCTAAACTCTTGACGAGCCCCGTTCTGCAAGGCTCTTGTGGGTACCTACCCCCACCAGGTATGAATCCGCTTTTGCTAGATTCTAGTGAGTACTTACCCTCACCAGGTACGAGCCCGCATTTGCTAAGCTCTTGTGGGTACCTACCCCCACCAGGTATGAGTCCGCTTTTGCTAAACTCTTGACGAGCCCCGTTCTGCAAGGCTCTTGTGGGTACCTACCCCCACCAGGTATGAATCCGCTTTTGCTAGATTCTAGTGAGTACTTACCCTCATCAGGTACGAGCCCGCATTTGCTAAGCCCTCATCAGGTACGAGCCCGCTTTTGCTAGATTAAAAGAAGTTTTAACAGATTAAAACTACACTTTTAACAGATTAAAAGATTATTTTAACAGATTGATTAAACCAGCAGTTTTGAAAATCTTCTATAAAAATATATTGGCTTGAACTTTTTAAACATCATCGAATATCAATCTTTTACACATCCTTTAGCAATCAAGCAAGCAAAATTTAATACTCTTTCAAGAAAGATTCGCGTTAGTTTTTGTGAAGTTCTTTGAGATTCTTTCTTGAGGCAAATTGCTTTCTTTTGGAGAAGAAACACTTACTACAGAATTGCATAAAACTAGTTTGAGCATTCTAGTTTCTTCTTTTCATTTCTTTTCATTCTTTTACTGTATTGTTTGGTGCCTGGAATTGTGGCCACTGGTTTCTCTGCAGCTGGAATTTGGTGGTAGAGGTTGTCAAGAACTGGAATTTGGTTCTTGGTGAAAGGTTAGGTGCAGGAACTGGAATTGTGGTTTTTGTGGTAGATTAAGTGTAAGATTGTAATCTGTAAAACATTTGATCTAGTGGAACCCAACTGGTATTTGGCTGGAGACTGGACGTAGCCCTGGTATTGGGTGAACCAGTATAAACACCGGTGATATCTTTCTAAACCTTTCTCCTCTTTTAATTCTGTTGCTGCGTTTATTATTGATTGATTGCTTTGTGATTCAAGAACAGATATGAAATCTTATTTTTACAAATAGATAATCTGTTAATTGCAAAAATCTTTCAAAGATCAATTCACCCCCCCTCTTGATCTCAGCCTTCTTTTCTAACACTATTTTTCTTGAAGCTCTTTATTCTGCTGGAGTGGTTTGATTTCACCTTCTCTTTCGCGATTTTAATTTTTCTCGCGAGTTATTTGAAATCTGGCTTTTTAATATATCACGTGTGCCTTTTTATTTTATTATAATAATTTTTTTGTACACGTGGGCTTTTGGAGGGTTAAATAGAAATAACAACTTTTTATTTATTACTTCCCTTTTTCGTTTTTTGGGTAGTACATTCAAACATTCTTAGCCTAGCAGAAAATATCTAAAAACATCCTAGTCATCAGCTTCTGGGCTGGAGTGGGAGGATGGTGCTGGCGAAGGGATGCGGCGGAGCATGAGGTGCTGGAACCTTGCCTGGGTCTGGACCAAATTTTCTATTTGGCGGTCTGTCCTTTCTTGCCTCATACTCAATTGACTGAATTATTGTCGCATGAACTGGAATTGTCCTTCCATGTAGGCGTGCTCGTCATCCATATGTCAGTATAAGCTGAAAGTAATGAAGATCTTATTGAATTACTTTGGCAAAAATCTTGTTGATTTGATGAAGTCAAGAATGGAGTCAAAGGCAACTTTGTGGCAGTCAAAGGTCACTTGGATAAAAGAGTAGAAGGATTAGTGATTAGAGTGTCTGTAGCTCTGCTTAGGTATAATCAGTTTTATCTCTCTGCTGCATGAGGTTTCTTCATTTAAAAGATTTTGCAAATGCCTCTAAAAAATGTTTTAACGGTTAAAAACAAAGTATTTTGATAAAAGCTTTCTTAATCAACTATTTTAACTAATAGCATATAAGCTTTATCAACTAAAATGTTCTTCACACTTTTATAACAGGATTTTAACTAATATAACTTTGAAATAACCGATTGTTTTCGTTAAAGGAAGTTTTGAAAACCTTCAGACAGTATTTTAACTGATACAGTTTCGAAATAACCGATTAAAATCACTTAAAATGTTCAGAGAAGCGTTCTGGCAGTATTTTAATCGATACAACTTTGAAATAATCGATTAAAACCACTTGGAGTACTGTTTGACCGATCAGAATGAGCATATGATCGATCAGAACCAGATATGATGGATCAGAATTGAGTTATGACCGATCAGAATTTTTTTAATCGATTAAAACTGCGTTTCAATCGATTAAAACAACTTAAGAAAATTTGTACTAAGCGTTTTAATCGATAAAAACATATTTTTATCAGTTAAAATCACTTGAAAAATTTATAAGAATGATGTGCAATATTTTAATCGATTGAAAGACGAAACAATCGATTAAAACAAATTGGAAGATTTTTTGTAAAGAGTTTTAATTGATATAAATGTTGTCGTATCAGTTAAAACAAATCTGGAAACGTTTTAATGGATTAAAAGAAGATTTAACAGATTAAAATAAGGCTTTTAACAGATTAAAAGATTATTTTAGCAGATTAATTAAACCAGTAGTTTTGAAAATCTTCTATATAAACATAGTTGCTTGATCTTTTTATAGATCATCTGAATTACATCTTTTAGCAATCAATCAAGCAATCAAAAGTGCTCTTTCAAGAAAGAATCACGCTAGTTTTTGTGAAGTTCATCAAAGTTCTTTCTTGAGGCAAAATTGCATTCTTTTGGAGAAGAAACACATATTGCAGAACTGCATAAAACTAGTTTGAGCGTTCTAAGTTTCTTCTGTTTGTTTCTTTACTTTCTTTTACTATATGTGGGTGCCTAGAATTGTGGGAACTGGTTTCTGTAGCTGGAATTTGGTTGCAGGGTAGGTCAAGAACTGGAATTTGGTTCTTGGTGAAAGGTTAGGTGCAGGAACTGGAATTGTGGTTCTTGTGGTAGATTGAGTGTAAGGTTAAGGTTGTAATCTGTAAAACATTCAATCTAGTGGAACCCAGCTGGAATTTGGCTGGAGACTGGACGTAGCCCTGAGATTGGGTGAACCAGTATAAACCTTGGTGATATCTTTCTAAACCTTTCTCTTCTTTAATTTTGTGACTGCATTTATTTTTGATTGCTTGCTGTGTATGATT